ATGGTCTCCCCTTGGCACCAACAGTTACTCATCGCAGGGCCACAGCATTTCCAGTCTCCGGGTCTGTACAGATCAGTGTACAGATTTTTTTTTTTCAGCGCGGCGCCGTCGCGGCCGTGACGCGCGGACCTGGCCCGGCCGGGCCGGAACAGGGGCAGCAGCGGCGGCGGCGGGGGGAGGAGAACACAGATTGCAGACCTCCCTCCAGCGGGCTTTGGGGAGGTGGCACTGCCATTCTCACCCCAACTGGTGTATGGGAAGCTCATGCGAGCAGCTGCACACACAACAGCCAAGGCTTGTGTCTTATCCAAATTACCGATACGAAAAAAGACAAGGGCCGTGGGGGGATTTTAGTCGGCTTAAGCCACCTGATAAAGCACATAATGGCCACCTGTCAGCCTCTCAAGTGCCGGCACGCCTGGAGGGACGACCTGCTCTGTGTGGATCGGGAGGGGAGAGATGGAAGCAGCGGGAGGAAGCGACCAGGAGGCCGACCTCCTCTTCGACTGAAGGCACAAATTACAAGAATTACCAGCGCCAGAGCGCAGAGGCAGGCCCTTGCTGGGGTGTTCGCCCCCGGCTAGAGAGGCACCCCCCGGGTGCTGCGGAGCACGGTGCAGCCCCCACCGGGACCCCGGGGCTTCTGGGCCCCAGCCTCGGTGGTCTCCTGGGCTCCGCAGCGCGGCGCCGGGGGCGGACTGCAAGGCGCGGGCCGGGCCCTCGGGGCAGGGCTTTGCCGCCGGCCCGGCGCCGGGAAGGAGAGGGGCGGGTGCGGACGCCCAGCTCTTACCCAGGGCGCGGTGGCGGCGGTCCCTCGGGCGCTGGGTCCCCGTAGTCCTCGCCAACCTGGCACATGGCTGCGCCCGGTCGCACGATAGTAAGCGCCGGCGGCGGAGAGACGCGCCCTAATAACGTCAGCGGGACGCCGTCGGGGCCGTGGTCAGCGGGTTGGGGGTGGAGCGCGCGCTTATGACGTCAGCGCCGCGGCGCCGCGGCCGTGACTAGCGGGGCGGGGGCGGGGCGCTCCCTAATGACGTCAGCGCGGCGCCGTCGCGGCCGTGACGCGCGGACCTGGCCCGGCCGGGCCGGAACAGGGGCAGCAGCGGCGGCGGCGGCGGCAGACCCGGCCCCGGGATGGCGATGTTCCGCAGCCTGGTGGCTTCGGCTCAGCAGCGGCAGCCGCCGGGCGGGCCGGCGGGCGGCGACAGCGGCCTGGAGGCGCAGTACAGCTGCCCGATCTGCCTGGAGGTGTACCACCGGCCTGTGGCCATCGGCAGCTGCGGCCACACGTGAGTGCGCCGGCCTGCGGGAGGCCGCGGTGCCGGGACGTTGCTGCGGGGAGGGGTCCGTGCCCGCCCCGGGAGGGGCCCGAGGCCCGCGGCCGCCCCGCGCAGCCCCGGAGCCAGGCGCGCGGAGGACTCGGGCGGGGGCGCGGGGCTCCCTGCGCAGCGCCGTCCCTGTCCTCTGGGCGCGTTCCTCCGCCTCAGCCCAGCCTCCTGCCCGCCAGTCCCGGGCGAGCCGAGCACCCTGTCGGCGCATCGGGCGACCTGCAGCCCTGTCCGGTCCCGACTCCCCCTGGGGTCTGCTTACAGCTTCGGCGGGCCTACCCGGGTGCTCCGAGGGCAGCAGGCGACCTCTGCGCCGGTCGCCTTCGATTCGGTCCCCCGGAGACCGGGGTGGGCATTTGTAAATAAATGCCTTGTGGCTCTTGTTATCAACTCTTTTTCGGACCCGCTGGCTGCTTGTCTTAACGGCAGAGGAGAGGAGTTTCCTAAAGTTAGGAGAGGGACTTGTTTGGAGTCTGGTGCTGTTTTGTTTTGATGGAGATCTTGGGTCATATCCATCATTGGGCAGGCGGGCTGGCCCTGGGGACCAGACAAGCAAGCACCCTGCTAGGGTTTCCAGCTGCACCAGAGCCTCCAGGAGGGTCCTGGCAGGGGTGTTTCAGCAACAAAAACCTGAGGATGTGGCTCTCCTCCCAGCTGAGAGCTGCACTCAAGTCTCCTGCGAGCTGCCAGCCTGGTTGGAAGGGCTCCAAGTTCAGAGTGTGTACTGTCCGACTGGCTCCTGGCTCAACAGTACAGCTCTTGAGTGAAACCAGCAGTGTGGGAAGCGGGGTCAGGAGGGCTCGGTTGCCAGCAAGCAGGGCTACTGAGGTGGTGGGGCTTTCACTCCCTGGTTGTGGGCAGAGGTGCACCCAGGCAGGTGGGTGCCCCTAGAATACTTTGCAAACAGGCAGCTGACTTAGGAGGCTCCTGATAGAAAGGGGGAGCTGGGTAGGTGTGTGCCTTCTTGTCACCCAGGGACAGTGTCAGCATCCAGAAAGCCTCCACTTTCCTCCTCCTCCCGTGTCAGGCAGCACAGACACCTGCCCACACCAGGGGAATACAGCCAACTTGTCAGGAAGGGCCGTGTGCCTCACTTTGTCACACTGCTGGTGACATCTTGTCGGGGCAGCCTCTGAACAAGACTCCTTTCTTGGAAACATATGCTGGTGGGTGTTTTCGGGTGTGCTCTGCAGTTTTTAGTCCATCACTGAGAGAACTGTAAGGCTTGACCCAACTTTAGAAAGCCTTTCCTGGTTTTCGGATGGTCTCCCCTTGGCACCAACAGTTACTCATCGCAGGGCCACAGCATTTCCAGTCTCCGGGTCTGTACAGATCAGTGTACAGATTTTTTTTTTTTTCCAGATAAGTCTTTTTTTTTTTTCCTCAGATAAATCTTTTTTTAAAATGTGGTCTTCAGAATACAGCACTGCACAGAATTATGAAAGCATCATGTCCTCTAAACCCTTCCCCCCCCCGCCATGTTTTTCTTGGCAGAATCTGATCTCTCTCCTGTTTCTGAGGCTGGTCCCGCGAAAAGCTCTTCCAGAGCGTCTTCCTCATAAGCCCTTCTCCCTAGCTTTCTCTCTGCCTCTGTTTCTTGCTCTTCCCAAGTTTCTTGTCTGGTGTCGTGAAGGCACATGCATGAACAAGCACAGTGGACTTAAAGGCTCACGCTTTTCCTTCAAAGAACCTGATGGTGGTCTAGGTATTTGTCCCGCACAGCCACCTAACCATAAACAGTTTGCCTCCACAAAACAGAGTTTCTGGTGCTAAGCAGCTGTGCGTGGGCAGCACCAGACAGAAGAGGAGAGGTCGGGGCGGGTCTCGGTCAGGAGGCCCTCAGTGGGGCTTGTGGAAGAGCTCCCTGGAGCTCCCCAGGAGCCCCAGAGGGAGCCGATTATTTCTCATACTCGGGGGACATCCTGGGCAGTAAGTCCCCTCTGGAAGCAGCAGCTGCATGGCTATGTATGACCCTCTGCTGGGCCCTCCCCTGAAGGCCTGGGGGCGGGGGCAGGCTCCCGGCCTGCGTTCTCCTCTCATGCTCTCTCATCTCCACCTCCGCGTCCCCACATGCAGTCAATGAGCAGAGATCGCAGAGAAACAAGAGCGCTCATGTTTAGGGGGACGTTGGCAATGATGAGGACAGGAGCGTCCTGCGTGCTCAGCGTGCCGCGGCCCCGTCAGGTGGGTGCTCTTGCTGTTTTGTACAAGAGGCTGAGTTCCCAGGGGTCGCAGCAAAGCCAGAGCTTGAGCTCAGGCAGTTGGGCAGGGCTGGCCTCTGAGCCCCCGCCTCTCCCCCCGACTCCGGTGAGCGCCCTTGCAGCAGTGACCCTGGAGACCCTGGGGACCGCTGAGCCTTGACGGCCCGCTGCCCACCCGGACCCGTGAGCGGGCTTCTCTGGGCGGAGTCTGTCACTCCCTGCTTGGCGATCCACGAGCACAGGCCTCCGTCGGGCACTGGGAGCGCACCTCCATCTGCATGGGGGCAGACCAGGATGTGGGCGATTGAGATCATCCACACCAGGCTTTGGAAGTCGGGCTCTGCCCCTGAGGACAGCTCCTGGCCTTCGTGGGTCCCCTGCGCTGTTGGCCGGCGCTGGCACGGTGGTGTGTGCGAGAGGCCCGGGCAGGAGTGAGACGTGGCGCTGGAGCCCGTGTGGTCGGCCCTGGGGGAAGAGAGCAGACCCCTCAGCTGGCTCTGTCTGCCTGTGCTGGCAGAACCTCCTTGGAAGAGGCGGGCACGGCTTGTCTGGGGCAGCTCCGAGCACCGCATTCATAGCGTGGAGACTTGGCTGCCAGCCGATGGTGCCCGCAGCTCCTCAGGTGCCACGACACACAGACCAGCAGAGCTGCGGGCCGGCGGGTGGGTCCGGGTGCACGCAGGGGTTCACGCATGCCTTCTCAAGACCCCAAGCTCCCCGGCCCCCTTCTGCTGGCAAAGAGGTGCCCTTCACCCCAACCTGTGCATCTGTCGTCGGAGACGTGGCCCTGGGGCCTGCCCTGACGACGTGGTGACTCGTCCCCTGAGCGCTCCTGGGGCCGTCGTTCTGCGTGTCCGTCTTACAGCTTTGCTGAAGGAGAACGCCCTCGTCTGAAGTATACACGTTGGTGGTTCCCGGAGTGTGCGGTGTTGAGCCAGCATCCCCACCACAGCAACCAAGGATCTGTGCTCCGTCTGTGGACGGGTCTGTTCTGACTGTCCATGTCAACAGAGTCACACAACACACGACCTGAGCTTGGCGTCCCCGAGACTCGCCCCAGTGGCAGCGTCCGTCAGTAGCTCACCCATCCTGGGGATCGGCCACATCCGTGTGTCCATTACTCGTGGATGACGTGGCTTGTTTCTGCCCCGTGGCTCTTGTGGTGGCACTGCCATGCACACCCACCGCGACAGTAGCAAGCTCTCCTCCCGTGACAGGCGAAGAGAGAGGCTTGCGTCGGCCGTTAGGCTAGTCAGACCCTTGGAACCGCAAGAGAGGCAGGCTAGGGCACTCACCAGAACGCCGTGGGGTGGGTGCCTAGACGCCTCTGTCACATGCCCGCCAGGTGAGGGTGACAGGTGGGCCATCCTCCTTCTCCTGGGGGAAAGAGGCTGCCGGGAATGCTGCATCTTCTGATGGACCTCAGGCCAAGCCGGGCCTTCTGTGCACGTTCCTGCAGATGGTGCCGAGCCAGGTGGGGGCTGCACCGGAAGCCAGCATGTAGGAGGAAGGCCCGGGCGTGGACAGTAGGAGGGACTCTGGATCACCCCCGCTGCCTTCTCCTGGGAAGGAAGTGAAACTCTCCTGGTGGCAGAATGCCAGCCGCTGAGATGAGCTGAGCTGAGCTGAGCGTGTACACTCGGGAACACCCTCCCATCCCGTGGCCCCCACAGCCCCCCGCTTGGTGCACACAGATGACGGCACAGTTGTGCGCATCCCAATCTTTGCAGTCTTTGAAGGGGCCCCCTTTCTTGTGGGTGGGGGCTTAGCCCTCGTCCTGGGGTGGAGTGCTCACTCGTCTGGGGCCCTGGGGCTCCATCTCAGCGTCTGCAGATTCTAGGTCGGGGTCATAGCTGAGCGGCCTCCACAACACTTCCTAAGAAGCTGGACCAAGGGGGTCCTGGGATCAAGCTCCCTCTTGCTGCCCGCTGGGTGCTCTCCAGCCCGGTGTCCCCGCAGACGGAACGCTGCTAGTTTCTCTGCGGCACTGGGGGGACTCGGGGTGAGAAGGGCTTGCTGCTGAGGTCCAAGGACATCTGTATCCACTGGCTGGCCTCTTGGTACGGCATCTCCAGGGACAGCACCAAGAGCCTCAAGCGCCCGAGTGTGTGCCAGGGCCATGAGTGCCCCTGCTCAGCAGTCAGGAGCCCAAGCAAGGCCCCTTCCGTCACCACGCCTCTGCTCCAGCGCTGTCACAAGGCTGGACAGCTTTGGCCCTGCCCCGTCCAATGAGTCTCAGGCCCCTGGAGCGCTGTGGTTTCCTCTCCCAGCATTGTCGATGATCTTACTCTCCAAAGCTTTGTGGGTGGAGGGTCTTCAGAGCCCCCCTGTGCTGCCTGTGTCCCCAGAGCACCTGGCGTGCTGGCATCACCACATGGCCATGAGACGGGCAGGCTGAGCCTCGGGCTGGACCCGGGGCCGCAGGGCCAGCACAGCTCCCGGAGAACCCCAGCCACAGCCCCACCAGCCTCGTGGATACGGCAGCGGGCCCCAGAAACCCACAGCTGGGAGGGGACCTGGGGTCGTCGTTTAGCCAGAGGAATAGAATGATGGTATTCAGAAATGTGCCGCTGACACAGAGGGGAGCTGCCCTGTGAGGCTCAAAGCAGCCAGCAGCCCTCAGGCCCATGCCCGCTCCCCCTGCAGGTTCTGCGGGGAGTGCCTCCAGCCCTGCCTCCAGGTGCCGTCCCCCCTCTGCCCGCTGTGCCGCCTGCCTTTCGACCCCAAGAAGGTAGACAAGGCTGCCCATGTGGAGAAGCAGCTCTCGTCCTACAAGGCGCCCTGCAGGGGCTGCAACAAGAAGGTACCCACCCCCGGGGGCCCTCCTGGGGCCGGGCTGGCCGGCTGGGCGGGCAGGGTTGTGGTCTGCAGCCGCAGGGCCTGCTTCCGCTCCCCCCTCTCCTCTCTGGCAGAGAGGAACCTGTGCTCTGCCCCTCCCCCACAGCACCACTCACTTCCCTGGGGGCCTTCCCACACCTCCCCCACCCCCCCACCCCACCCCCGCTGTCTGGCCTGGGCTCTGGGTCTTACGTTGTTGCGTGGTCGCTGTTGTGGGGCTAATTTGGGGACATGGGAACTGAGCCTCAGCCCTGCCGACGGGGGTTGGGGCCCAGGCAGAATGGAGGGGGGTGCCTCTCCAGGGCTGACCACCACCACCCACCTGGCCTGTCTCTCCACCCTGCCTGGAGCCCCTCACAGTGGCCCAGCCCCAGGAGCGGATTTTGACTTTGCATTTTGATAGAAACATCACAATAGAAGGCAACCCCTGGTTGCTTTGTCCTACAGGTCAGGGTCAGAGTCAGGACATCCTGGAGCTACTCCGGGTTCTGCAGTGAGGCTGCTGGCCTCCTTCCCTGGCACGCAGGCTTTCTCCCAAGAGAGAGCAGGCCAGGCCCATTCTCGGCTTCCCACATGCAGCGGGCCTGCTCTGCCACAGTGTGCTCGGGTCTGTCCACACTCGTGGGCCAGTGGGGCAGGCCCGAGCAGAGTGGGGAGCCAGGCTGCCCTCGAGAGGCCCTTCTCCTGTTGCCCAGGACACCTGGGGGGGATCTTGGCCCCGGGGACCTTACCCCTCGCTCACACCCTCCTCGCTGCTTCCTTGGTCCTGTGAACGAGTTTCCTATTTGTGAGACATTTACTCCCAGCCTGTTGGCATTGGTGACAGCAGGATTGGTAGCATCTGCTCCCTAGGGACGGATGGTTGCACCTGTCCCTTTCCTTGGGTCGTTCACTTGAGCCACACCGAGGTCCGCACACCTGGCTCCTTTCCCTGCCCCTTGGCCAGAGCATGTGCCCCGGGCCAGGCTGAAGAGAAGGTTGTGCTGTGGTTTGGTACGTTTTGGTAAGTTCTATCAAGTAGATGCTTGGCCGTCTACAAGAACGCTTTTCCTCGGTTTCTGTAATGAGGGCTATCCCCCCCACCCCCACGATACATCTGTTCTGGTTTCCTCAAGGACTGCCCCTGCCCTCTGCAGGCCCCGAGCAACCCCAGCTGAGGTGTGCTCCTGTCCAGTAGCTGGTGGCCAGACGCACCTGCCAATGGGTGTCCGGAGTCTGTGTCTCCTTCCCTTGGTGCCCCTTTTCTGGCAGGGTCATGAGGCCCCTGAATGAAGCCTCCCCACTGCTTACACAGCACTGCTGGGCCATGAACGTCAGGGGCAGGGACGGGTCCTGCTGCTTAGTGGCCCTCTCGTCCTCTGGAGCCTGACCCCGACACCTCCTCGGCCTCTGTCTTCCTAGGTGACGCTGGCCAAGATGAGGGTGCACGTTTCCTCCTGCATGAAGGTCCAGGAACAAATGGCCAACTGTCCCAAGTTCGTCCCCGTGGTGCCCACGTCTCAGCCCATCCCCAGGTAGGCCACCCCGCTCCAGTGCTCAGAGCCCCTGTTCCTTGTAGGGGCAGCTCCTGGCCCATGTTGCTGTCCCTGGAGGAGGTGGGAGAGGCTGTTGTGTCCCCCTCTGCAGACAGCCTCGCTGCCCTGCAGGAAGGGGACCCCAAGGAGGGCCTGCACAGGCCCGCGAGTCACCTCCCAGCAGGGGAGGGTGGGGGGGAAGGGATGGGACCCAGAGCGCAGGGGGAGGCCCGGCCGGGTGCCCCCAGGGCAGGCCACGCCGCAGGTGGGGGCAGTGCGGGCCCCCACTCACCTCCCGCCACCGCCGCAGCGCCGCCCCCAACAGGTCCACCTTCACCTGCCCCTACTGTGGCGCCCGCAACCTGGACCAGCAGGAGCTGCTCAAGCATTGTGTGGACAACCACCGCAGCGACCCCAACCGCGTGGTGAGCCGCCAGCCCCGGGGACCGGCGGGGGGTGGGGCCGGCTCCCCCCGAGCAGCAGAGAGCTGCTGCAGCCCGCACCCTGTGTTGCAGGTGTGCCCCATCTGCTCGGCGATGCCCTGGGGGGACCCCAGCTACAAGAGTGCCAACTTCCTGCAGCACCTGCTACACCGGCACAAGTTCTCCTACGACACCTTCGTGGTGCGTGCCCCCTCCCCATGGCCGTGCCCCCACAGAGGCCCTGCCCTGTCCCTCCATCCCCTGGAAACCACGCCCCCACCCGACCCGCAGACCCTCCCACACCAGGGCCTTTGGGGCTAATCGCCCCACTCCTAGTTGCTCCTCAGACCCCAGTTCCTTGCTCCTCCCACAGACCTGCTCGGCACTCAGTCTCCGGGCCGGGTGTCTGTGGGGTAGTTCGCTGCAGAAGCCCCGTGGTGCCCTCGAGGAGGAGCCAGATGTGGATCCCGTGTGTGGGCAGCCTATCCCATGAGCCCGTGGCCCTGGGCGTGGCAGCACAGTTTCCTCCTGGCCCCGGGACGGAGGGTCTGGCCCTGAGGGGCACCTGCGCATCCCCGTGTCTTCCCTTCCTGTCTTCCAGGATTATAGCATCGACGAGGAAGCTGCCTTCCAGGCTGCCCTGGCCCTGTCTCTGTCCGAGAACTGAAGGCACAGCCCAGCCCCTGGACCTGAGCCCTCCCACCTCCGGGGGACGGGGCCGCCTTGGGGGACGGGGCCAGGACAGGGGGACAGGCCCAGCGCCTGCATGGAAATGCGCCTGTGGGACAAGCGGAGCCTCCTGTGTTGCAGGACAGACGTCCCCGAGCCCACCAGGGGCCCCATCGGACGGTGGCCTCCAGTGCTCCTGGCCGAGCGTTGCTGGCTCCTCGGTGCTTCGGGCTGAGCAGGCGGCCCTCACGGGGCTGGCTCGTTGGGCCTGAGAGCGGTGGGCAGCCGGTCTGTCTCAAAGCCATGCTGTCCTCCTCTCTGGCACAGAGACCCACTGTGCCCCATCGGCATCCCGCAGGCCTGGCTGCTGAGCAGGGGGCGCGGGGGGAGCCCGGCCACCGTCTCTCAGCGCTTCCAGTTCGCGCACTCGGTACTGGCTTTTGTGATACTTAGGAACTCTGGCATTTTTCTATATTATCCAGTGTGATGATCTTTTCACATTTTATAGAGCAAAGACCGAGCAGTTACTCTTCATATGGCAATACCCGTGTTTGACTAGGAACAATAGTATTTTTATGGAACATTTACAAAATTATATTTTTAAAAAAAAAAAAACAATCAAAAAGCAACAGTTGTGGGGTCAGCGTGGGGGAGGGAAAGAGAGTTGTGGACGCCAGAGCCAGCGTGCGCCCTGGGGCTTTGCTCAGACAGATCCTGGCGCTGCTCTGCTGGGTCCCCCTTCCCAACTGCCAGGAAGAACCCCCAGGGCCCCTGGCCGCTCACAGCGGCCACCCCAGCAGTGCAGGCCTCTTCCCACCAGGGTCCCGGCCCCCAGCCCGCTGCCTCATTCCCAGGCGGACCCCGAACCGTGTTGGTAGGCCACCCTGGGGAGTGACGGGTGGGGTTGGAAGGAGCCGTCGTACTCTTTCGGTTCACGGCATAAATTATTGCTCTTTTAAAAAAAACTTCAATAAAACATTTCGAAGCATCTATAGCAACCTTGATCCCTAGGTTTCATCTGGGAGGGTGAAAGGCGGGTGGGGGCTGGGGTGCAGCTGTGACCTCCCTCTGCTTGAGATCTGCAGGTGTGTGTCTGTCCCCAGGCAGCTCGAGCACTTGGCAGGGGACGGTGCTGCCCACCTGCCCCAGGCCCCTCCCTGTGCGCACGGTGCCTCCCTAGGCTTCCCTCAGCTCCCCCAGAACACATCCTCTCTCTTGAACCCTGTCTGGTCCCTGGTGACACATCTTGGCAAAAGTTTGCCAGGTGGTGGTGGTTTTCACCTTCCTTGTCATGAGATGGGGTCCCCCCGAGGCCAGCACACTGGACTCGAGGCTTGTTCTGGGGGCCAGAGGTAGCCATGGAGGCTGGCGGACAGTCTTCGGGATGCCCTCGGGGTGAAGCCCCGCGTCCCTGAGCAGCCACTCTCCCCATGGCTGGTTCTTGCTGCTCTGCAGCTCCGCTGGGCATCCTCCTGGTGCCCCAGCATGTGACCTCGGCCCCCCCAGCCCCATGCAGGGCCTAGCGGGTGGAAGGAGCCATTCAAATGTGAAACGTCCGGGACGCCTGGCTGGCTTAGAGCGTGCCATTCTTGGTCTTGGGGTTCTATGTTTGAGCCCCACATTGGATGTAGAGATTATTTAAAAAAATCTTTAAACGTGGAATGTCCAGCCAGAGATGGTGGTCTGGGCCACCAGGGCAGTTTCCCTGGGCAGGGCTGTGTTCTGGGCTGTTCCTCAAAGCAGGCAGGTCTCCTGAGCTTGAAGCCAAGGCAGGGCCAGGCAAACAAGCCCCCACAAGCTGCCACTTGGGAGAGTGGTGACAAGCTGGTCACTGCCTTAGGTCCTTCTTTAGGAGCCTCCCCTCTTCAACCCCACTGGCCGAGGACGCCAGTTCCAGGGGCAGGCATGGTGGCGGGTCCCTGCTGCCACCTGAGGACACCTGAGGAGCTCTGCTCCCTCCGTACAGCCACGGGGGCAAGAGTCACAGGACAGCGTCCACATGTGGCCTCTCATCCCCAACACCTCAGGGCATTCTGCCCAGGGGAGGACATCAGAGTGAACCCCAACACGGCGTGGGGGACACTGGGCGAGCTGGATCTCAGTAGACCCCACAGTGTCGGTGGGGATGCTTGGGCTGAAGGCCACAGCACAAACAGCCTCCCTTGTACTTCGAGTGAATCCTGTGCCAGTGGGGCTGTCCTGCCAGGCCTCCCTGTAAATCAGCTCCGCCACCTCCAGGGTTTCCCGCCACTTTAGGCTGGGAGTTCCTGGAAGCCAGCGTCCCCCTCCCACCCTGACACACGCGGGGCCGACCACCGCAGGAGCTCATGTCCCCCACTGCCACACAAAGCCAGACAGCCCTGCGTCCTGGGGTGCCCCCACCCAGAGTGCACACTTCTCTGTCAGGGTACGCACTGCACCGCGGCGTGGGGAGTCCACACGCGCCCTGAGGCCTAGAAAGCATGTCTGGATCTTGGGTACCTACGACCTCCTATGTTAGCACGGGGCCGGCAGGCAGGACGCCCAGAGGGCAGAGCCCCCAGGCCCCCGAGCGCTGGCGCGGTGCTCACCCCCGGGTCTCACGGGAGCTGAGCACCTTTGAGAGTTTGGCCCACTGCCCTGACCTAGCCCTGGGGCACAGCCAGCTGGGCTCCCACAGAGGCACCCTGCTGAATGTGGTGGCCAGCCAGCCAGGCCAGCAGAGGAGGCACTTTGGACCCAAAAGCCCCGCTGCTGGCTCCTTCGGGGCTAGAAGAGACTCCAGGCCCTGCAGTCAGTGGCTTCCAGAAAGCCTGCGCTAGGGATCCCAGACCTGGGACCCAGGAGGCTCCTGTCTGGCCGGTGCGCTCGGCGCCTTGGAAGCAAGTTGCCGCAGAGGTCTGAGCCGCCTGAGACGCCTGTCGGAGGAGCCTCCAAAGAGGGGCCGAGCTTGCTGGCCTCTGCCCCCTGGTGGCTGGTGTGAGAAGCACAGGGCGTGCCGTGGTGTGGAGGCTTGGCTGGGGGCAGGTCTGCAAGATGGGGACTCCAGCCCCTTCCGGTGACAGAGACCCGCCTGACAGGTGGCCCTCCCTGTCTCCAACAACCTGCTGGGAACAAGGGGCCAGCTCCAGAGTGCAGGGAGGAGGCAGTAGGGTGCAGAGTGGGAAACCCTGCTGTGGACCCAAGGGACCCCTCTCCTTGAGGCCCTGCAGGGCATCCTGCTGATGCCTGACGCCCATATCACACGGGAACAGCACCTGCGGCCTCACAAAACACATGTGTGCACACACATGCATCATGTGCACACGCGGCAGGCCACAGCCCAGCATGTGCGTCCACCCCTGCTCGGCCCCCCGCTGCTTTCTCCCCCTTCCGCCCAGCCCCTAGAACCCCTCCTCAGCACCCAACACCGTGTCCCCTGGCATGCCTAGGACACCATGTCTAGTACCCTCCTGCATGTCGAATAAGCTGTGTAGGAAGGGACAGTGTCCCTTTCTGTCTCACACGGACATGTCCCCCAGACCCCAGACTAAGAACCAGCATCAGCTGTAACAGGCCTCAAAATGGAATGAGCTCCTCTTCTCTGGGGGTGACCAAGCACTCACTGGCACCAATCTGACCAGATGCTGGGAGCTGGAACATTTGGTCTCAGTTTCCACAAGTCCACGACCTCGTACAGCCACGAGGTTGCCCTAAGTCAGGATATCCCAGCCACAGCCACACCCCAATGAACACCCCACATGCTGGTGCAGGGGCCCTTTGTCCCTGCGGCTGGAGCCCCCAGTGCGAGGGGCCATCTGTCCGGGGTCCTGGGACAGCTGAGCTCCAGCTGTGAGGTCCAGCTCTGAGCACTGTTCCAAGAGTCTTGGTCCCTGGGGCCTGTGCTTCATGCTGACATGTCCACACTTGAGAGCACAGAGGCTCACCCTCCTCCAAGCCCCAGGGATGTGCATGCCAGGGGCCATGCTGTTTGGGGGTTCTCAATGCCTTTCCATCTCATCCAACAAGCGTTGCTGGACCACACCGTGCACATGCAGGTACTGTGCAGGAGTGAGGGCTGGCTCCCAGCTGGCCCCCCTCTTGGGCACAGTCTGATAGGGAGCAGGGCCCCCCAAACTAGGTCATGAAACCCAATCAGTTAAAAAGTGAGCATGCAGTGGGGATGCAGATATATGTGAACATACGTAGGCAGAGTCAAGCACTACCTGTCTTATTCTTTGTAAGGCATGAGAAAAAGACTCCAAACACATACACGTAAAAAGAGAAACTAACGGGGCGCCTGGGTGGCTCAGTCATTAAGCGTCTGCCTTTGGCTCGGATCAGGATCCCAGGGTCCTGGGATCGAGCCCCGCATCGGGCTCCCTGCTCAGCGGGAAGCCTGCCTCTCCCTCTCCCACTCCCCCTGCTTGTGTTCCCTCTCTCGCTGTGTCTCTCTCTGTCAAATAAATAAATAAAATCTTAAAAAAAAAAAAAAAAAGAGAGAGAGAAACTAAGCAGAACTGTAGCAATCGCTCGGGAGGTGCCTATCCTAATTGGAAAGCGCTGCTCAGGCGGCTTGATAGAGGCAGATGGGTGGGGCCCACAGCCTGGCTCCCAGCCAGCTGTCATCCCTAGGGTCTTAGGTGCCAAGGGAAGACCGCTGTGATTTCTTCTGGAAGGCAGGGACTCTGGTCCCTGCAAGTCCTGCTCTGGTTGAAAGAGGGGCAGTTCCAGGAGACTGGTGGGAAGTGAGCGGGCATGAGGCTTAATGGCCAAGTAAAGCGGCCACAAGGAGGATAGAAGGACACAGGGCAAGAGTGGATGGGGACAGCTGCACCCCCTCCCTGGCACTGGACAGGTGTGGACAAGTAGATGCCAGCGTCCTCCTCTGTGGGTCCTTCCTGGGTCCAACCCAGACACAACCCTGTGAATTACAGCAAGTGAGTCTGCGTGACCCCAAGGAGGGCTGAGAAGTGGGTGGGGGTCATTTGAAACGACAGCCCTAGGCAAAGAATATACTGCCCCTACCCCAGAGTGGCTCCAAGGACCCTCGGGATCCCAGGGAGCATTTCCAGGATGA